CTTGGAGCACAAAAGGCTCAGTTACTGCAGCAGCCCATATAGATAGCTACGAAGGAGCAACTGAATTGAAAGACTAAAATATTTCGTATACTGATATTAAAATTGTTTATAGTTGTATGCCGCTGAAAAAAACCAATGGAATATAATGACATCATTTTATTCTTCTCGATTCGTTCTTTTTGCTTTGTTCAAGTTTATCAAAGGACATAATTGTGTGAAGAAATAGGATTTTATGCTTAAATTTATATCATTCATGTAAAATAATATTTGCGATATTTTTGTTAATTGGAAAATGACTTGGTTATAGTAGAATAATATAACTGATTTTTCTTAACGTTATGTTGGAATTTTTTTTCTAGTACTCAGTGTTTGTTGCTTTACATTTTATAGCACGAAGATAATGAAAATTTAACAGTGAAGCAAGTCAGTAATTTTCTAGCCTAAACAGGCTTTGTAGTTCATGTTTATACAACTGAAACTGGAAAGAAGTTGTATCATAGCAAAACTGAGTTTTCGTCACTCATTTTTTATATTCTCACCTTGCAACATTATGGTCCCAGACACTTTTTCTCACAAAAGCTTTTACTCGGTGCTAAATGGTCCCAAAATGTTACGCAATAACTCTTCGATACTCCTTGGTTTTCGAAATTTCTCATGTAGCCATGATTCGTGAAGAAGCTCGCAATAAAATTTCTAAGCAATTCCAGCCTATCGGTGAGTTCATGTTCATTCAAAAGGCTAAATGCTATCTAGGTTATACAGTTTCAATATGACATTGACATTTATAAGGAAGAATGATATTTATGAAATGCAAACTTCATATCAAGTGTCTAATTTAGCGATGTAGACAGCTTAGTTACAAAATGATAGTTTCGTACCAATAAATTACAACAATGCTCACACTTTAGTTATAATGAATGAACTCAGTTCTTGAATTACAGAAATTATAGTATTTACAGAATCTTTTGATGCCGTTATTTGTTCTGTTTCTTTGAAGCAGTAACAAAAATTATTATCACCTATCTAGTTCTAAGTATTTTCACTCTTCTTTTTCATGTTATGTTAGATGCAAAGTTACCCATTTAAAGGTTGAAGTATTCAAAATTATTAATATAGTATTCAGTCATATGGGAATTTATGTTGTTAAATTCTTTTTTCTCATTTCTATGAAGTATAACATCTTGAAACAATATAAACGTTAATGTCTATCTGACCAGTTGCATCAACAGAATTTATGAATACTGCCGAGAATTTATTCAGAATTTATCGCATTGCATGCTGATATTAATGAATGCTGTTTTCTAAAACTAGACACTAGTAAATGGCTGCTTCATCCTAACTGTCAATACAATATCAGGAAAACTCACTACTCAGTCAAAATATTCTGCCTGATGTTAATTAAAAATAAACATACGTATAGTTAAATAAGTTCCTGTCAAACTAAAAATTTAATTAGTTAGTTAAATCGATTATAGATTATCTGAACTCATTTAGGCAGAAGGCTTTCTTATACACTACTGTAGTGTCACTCTACTTGAAAATTATACGAAACAGATCAGCTTGATTTTCCGTGTGCACTTACCTAAAAATAAACTAAATCAAGTGGATAGCAGTTTGGTTCATCAAGATGATTAAAGATTAAATACTCAATGATTATCACTTAAAGTAAAAACAAAGGAGTTTCTGATGAACTATGATAAAACGAAGAAATATAGTATATTGTGCTGGTCAAAATATTTTTACTGATTTTAAGACGATATAATAAAATTGTTTTATTTTATCAAAACGATTTTCACAATAAATTTAGAAAATATTTTCAACATTTATTTTGTTATAAAGATATTAACTGGAGATATTATACAGGGTACAACTATAAGCACTAACAATCCACGATCGGATGAAGTGCAGAACCTGAATGAAAATAAATATATTCTCGAGAAGTTTTTGACGAGATACTGTCTTCGCATATTAAGAAACTGCTTCAGTAGCCATTCGAGGTCACAGCTTATGTTTTTCTTCACCTTGAGATTCTGTTTGCAGTTTTACACACGTTATTATGAAAGGTAACACCGACTGAATTAATTCGGTTGCATAAGAAAATATCTTCAAATCAGAGTCTTTAAATGCTTACTCTTCAATATTTTCCACTGGAGGTACTGTAGCTATTTTGTATGATTTCATATGTTTTCCTAATATACATTAAGTAGTCTCTTCAAGAGTTGGGTATATAATCTTCAAGCTTTATTACAATCATCAGATAATCTCGTATATTCACCCATAATTTTCCATTTTACTGATATCTAGTTTATTGTCTTTGTAGTGACAAATTAATAAACTTAGGTGATTACATGTGTAAATGAGTTGTTAATAATTCCTAATCATTCACCTGCACAAGTTTATAAGTTCATTTATGAAAAAGATGCTCATAGGCAGCAGAGAGGCGAGTAAATCACCACTTGAAAGATATAACAAATCGATACAGTAAAATTAATTATGTCTGACTCGTATTGTGAAATAAACAGAAATACTTTGAATGCATTACAAAGTTGCAGTCTAGAACTAAAGGAATACTCAGAGCATAACTTTTAAAACAAATTTCTGAATCTATATTAGTGAGAGGTCAAATCTAATGCAAATTGTTTATTTTCTTATAGTTTATGAAGTATATTTAAGGTGCCGATTTATACATAAAATTTCACAGTCCAAGAAATGTATTCGATGTGGCAATACTGACACTCTGTCTTGGAGATATTTTGACGAAAAATTCAGATATCTCAGCGTTCAGTAGAAGTGAAAACCCGAGCAACTGCTAAGTTTCTTTCAAGTGTGATACCAATAGACCGAATGGCATTACGCAACGCATTAAAATATTTTTTGAAAGTGACGCTCAGGAGTAAATTTCGTATGCTATTCGCTATTTGCAAATCTGTTTTGACTTTATGTCACCATTGAATAAGTGAGACTGTGAAAATAAATGCTGTATTTATTTTATGCTTCTACTAGGAAGAGATATGCTTATAAATCGCATTATATGATGCATTAAATTTAGGTGATATATCCAAACCCAATGTGTAGAATATATGGATAGCGTACTTTTTACCTTTTGTACTGTCTGTGCTAGTTGGCGGCTAGGGAAGTCAATCGGTGATAAAGTCGACTTTAAGTACACATCACATTTAAATGTTTTCAACTGATCTTACATGAATAGAAAAGAGCACTCTCAGGAACTAAGCTGACACTATTTTCTATGGTTAACTAGTATTTTCGTTTAAATTTCTGTTAGAGTCTTTTTGAATGTTTCTCATGACTTTTGTTGTATTTTTCTCCCAAATACTCATGTGAAATCAGGATGACTGTCCAAGAACCTCTTGCATCTTTCTAATCTACCACTTTACATGCATCACTATCAGTCCGATACCATTTTCAAGATTGCAAAATAAAAGTTAGTTTCTTAAGAATTGAACGCCTTATAACTGTTCAATGCTCTGTATTAATAGGAGGAACTCATACATCCGCTTATCGCGTTATGTTTGCGCTAGATTTGTTTATAAGGAACCTTTTATTCTTCACCGACTGTTCTAATGTTATTGAGCTTAAACACAAATTTTCAAATTGAGATCCCCATTAATTCTGGTGCAAAGATCTACTGGAGCATGAAAACCAAACCTAAGGTAATGCCATCCACTTCAAAGTAATTTTCAAACTTCTTTTCAAATATCTTCAGAATGATACACGCTAATATGATAAATCTATTGCCACCTTCTGGTTATAAATTATGTATAGTACAAAGAACTTAAAACTGATGAGTCAGCAAGTACTTGTAGTGTACCTTGAACCCACTTTTGGCGCTACTTCATCTTTTGATTTGCGACGCGACTGTATGTACTTGGTTCGCTCCCTTGTTGTGCTTTCAGCACACTCTTCGAGCTTACCACCCAGCTGAGGTATCAGATAAGTTGTATAACATCTTTATTTATTAAAATTGGTATTTCATTCGTGTAAAATACAACTCAGTCCCAGACACACTTCCCGTCTCAAGTCTTTTTACTTCGATTTCGTTCGTCAGTACTTACACGCTAAGTAGAGTACTGCTAAGGTTATTAAGCGGTGAAGTATTTAGTAAGTGTGGTTATTGGAGGTCTATGTTAAGTTTTACTTAATACTTGCATGCTCTTGTAGGTAAAAAGCAGGGATATCGTAGTTTAACTCAATCTATTCAGAGCGAAACTATAATTATAAAATCTACATCTTAAATCACTGACTTTCAGTAGTAATTTATTAAAATATTTCTGTGTTTCTTGTGATTTCCGCATTTTTATTCTTCGGTATTTAGATGTGATAGACGTTTTTGTTAACGTGTCGTACTTCGGGATGTCCACTTTTGGTCAAAGTATTATCTCATCTGATTTTTTCTGAATAGTAGTGAAGTAACCTCCCGAGCTTTATAATCCTTAAAAAAGCAAAGCTGGTCATCATTTACCTTACGTTTCAAATTTAAGTCACAATATCAACTAGTAAAATATTGCTCCATAAGAGATATTACTGGAACTTCTGTATTAAAGTAGATGGAAATAGAAATAGGTGATGGAAATAGAAATATGCTGAATGAAGCCATTAGTTATTGCGAGTTGCATAATGAATTCACTTATGAATTAGTCAACATTACTGACTTTCCAAAAGTTTCTCTCTTTATAAAACTGCTGACTACCGATATTTGTATAATACAACGGGTGACTTGCTTACTTAGTCAAACATATTTTATGGAGACTTTTATGTAATCTAGAAGCCACAACATCAAATCTTCTGCACATACTTCACTTCCCTTAAAGAGATTATATCGTAATTGGTAAATATTTTAAAAAGGCCATTTAATGAGGTTGTATATAATAGTTTAAGTACTTTAAAATGAAGCAAATAAGATATCAAAGAAAATCTTTGAAGTACATATCATTGCAGGTGATTCTAATTTACATATGTTTGTATATTTTGTTTTTCTTCAGTTATATTTAGTGTAGGAGAAAAGAGAAGATATGAGGAAGTAATTTTGTTCAGATTTCAACAGCGTGTATCATTTCAATTCATTACACAGGCATTCATATGCAACCAAGCTTTGTTTCAGTTATGGCATGTGCGATTGACTTTTTATATATTCAGCCCCTGGGGGTTAATTAGAAAAAGCATATCTTGCAAACTCATAAATAGGTAAGATTATAATCAAGTTTTTTCTGAGTATTTCACTGAACAATGGATTTCTTTCCTTTCAAATAGAAAATAAAAATACGAATATGGTATTAATTTCAAGCATATTCCAACTGTTTTTAACTGAGCAACGCCTATTCAAGAAATGAACTAACTACAGAACAATACAGTCATAATCATGAATAGGTGAGATGATCAGCTAGCATTTTGGAGGAATACCATCTCCAAATGTACACTATGCGTAGAGTATTTAAAATTTGGTATGGTTCTCATCAATTATGAACTTTGCATTCAATGATTAACATGAATAAATAAAATATAAAACCAGGCAGCATCAAAGGAATTTCTCATTGACTACTTTCCAAGTAGAGAATGGAGATTAAATATAAGTGCTTTCATATTTTAGCTAAAGATGAATAAACAACAGATTGTTTTTGAAAATACTTTCGTCGAGCTTACAAATGAACACTAAGCAGCAGCTAACATATCTCCTGCCTGGTTGTATTGATGTCAACTTCTTGATTGGTATACTTGCTTACCAGTTTGTTAACCAACAAGGCAATATCCTGTCGAAGTTCAAATGACTCATTATGACCCATTGACAAAATGTAACTCAAGTTCATCTAAAGGGTGAAGATCAACATTCGCCTAAGCATATATTGCACAATGTGAGCTATAATACTTAATATCAATTGCTAACATATATGCTCATTTAATTTGACATTTTTGATTCAACACACTCCCTACTTATTTGATATGAGGTGTTACAATTAATCTTTTTCACTACTTTTTACTTACTATTCATCGCTTACTTTGATTATAATTTGTAATACCTTGGCTTGCAATCTGTCTATCAAAAATGCTTACAAAATTATATCTAGTGTTGAATGCTTAAGCTGTACATTAGTTATTAAACATTTTAAATAAAATTGTGTACAAATACAGCATAACTGATATGATTATGAACAACAAATTGTGTTCGAAACGTCATCCAGTAAATAATTCCATTTTACTGTGTGATATATCTAATACATGGAAAATTCCCATCGTAAAATAAAGAAAATTCAAACAAGTGATTTAGCGAAGATATTGTCTTCAACGAATTTATTATCAAGCTGTACAATCGTATATTAATGGCTTTTAAGAAATTATATCCGGTGATGGAATTGAATTGTAGTTCATACTATTATTATTTCATGCATTTACACCTATGATTCAATTCCTTCACCGGATCTAATATCTTAAAAACCACATTTATACGATTATATACAGCTTCATAATAATAAATGCGTTGAAGAGAATCTCTTCCCTGAATCACTTGTTTTCATTTTATATATCTAATGAACAAACTATAATGGAATTACAGCTACGGTGATTGTGAGGCATCTACCCTAATTCTACTGAAAATATGCAAAGAAAGCAAACGCTACGCTTCTCAACATCCATTTGCGTATATCCTGTTTTAAAAATGAGTAATTCATTGTGAATTTAGTTTAATTCTCCTAATTTTTATTCATTATTGTATTCCGGGAAATACTGTCACGTTAAGAAGATAATTAAGTCAGCTTTTGGTGTTTGTTTTTGAAAATTTTATTGTATTCGACTGCATAAATTACTGACTGCAATTAATTTTGAGAATGACTTTCAGTGTATCCCTAAGCATAATATTTATACATTTAAATACTCAGCTGAATTTCTATAGAATGAACGAAATTTCTATGAATTACTTTGTCGCGTGTCGTTCAGCAGAAAACAAATCTTTATTGTTCAAAAGATTTTACTATTGCAAATAGAATTTGCTATATTTTATCCTCCTTATTAACAATTCAGTAAGTTATTTGATATCTTCATCTTTAGTTCTAGACTAACTTTTAATTTGAACAGTGAACTGGTCATAGTAGTTACTCAGTTTGTAGTGACTATTTTCGTCCTGTTTACGACTCGTCACAAGACGTACAGATATGACAAAATACAGAAACTTTATATTGAAACTTCCATTTGCATATATTCTCCATTTTGCGCTTCTTCTGTCTCCCCTTCAGGTTTTCCACATTGTTAAAAAAGATCTTTTATATTTTTAGTTTGCAGCTCAGTCCGTCGCTTCGTTATTCGGAATACATGATACAAAATATACTACTTACGAAATCGTGTCAGTAGCACATACCACAATAGTATTTTCATTAAGACAGGAACCCACTAATAATTATTTCAAGCTCTAAAACGTTAATCACTTCAATAAATAAAGTTATTCAGTCCTCATAATTAAAATGATATTTTCGGTATACAAATGGCAAGTGAACTTAACATATAATAGGCATACGTCCATGAATTTACCAGATGCTTACAATATAAACATTTATTATCCAAAATTAAAAGAAGTTATGATCAATTGTAAGTTATTCGTCAAAAGGTTCCATCAAGTCTTAGGTGGCTATGCTGTTTTTCGTTTGCTCACCCTGCTACCTTGACATTAGGCATTGTTGGAAAAACCTGTTAGTGAATCCACTGGAAGTTTATTAAATCAGTATGCCTTATGTAGTGTTTGGTTTTATCACTATGATGGATAGTTAGGGTTCATTCTTCGTGGAATTTCTGGGTCGTTTTACGCATATCCTACTTTAAAGACGTTTCCCCTAGACGCCTAGCTTTACATGTGTCGCTCCAAAATCTTAAAAACTGTTTACCATGCTAATAACTTACTATAATCAAATCTAACTGAACAGTCGTGATCTGAGTTTTTTATGGTTTAGATGAACAGCACTATCTTTATGGGTGGACAGAAGTAAATATCAAATTTCAACTGCTTTTACACGTAGAATTGTAGATTTTATGAAAGAAATGGAAACTAAATAAAGTTGCAATAATGTGGGAATTCGTTACATAATTCGAAAGTTTCTTCTGTTAATTTTACGAGTTGATCACGGAATGATATCAGTTAGAGAACCATTGAAAACCAGGGAGTACTGGACAGCTGTTTCATCCTAGTATGGGAATCATCGGCAGTACTCACCCAATGGGATTCGAACCCAGGACCTTCCGGTTACAAGGCAAGCTCGTATACCATTCAGCCACTGGGACCCGATTCAATGGCTCATGAATTCTAACTTCTACTAATTCGTGATTTAGCGCGACCCCAACCTCGTAAAAACATAACTAACCCTTACAAACCAAACTATAGAAAATTCTTCTGTTAATCACAAATGCTGTTTTCCATTCGTTTTATTTATATTAATATGTAAATAATCTAATCCGAAAATAAAATCAGCATAAATCGGAGTAACATATGAAAACTGGAAGGTTTCATATTATTATTGCATACTTTTTCAGATTACTCACTTCATGTATTCAAAATTGTCCTAGGAAATTAAAATACTTGAAATAACTAATCGTTTGATGGGATTTTCGCTATCAGTATTCAGAATCACTTAATTTAAGTTTTCTGATTTCGTAACGCAATAAAAATATCTTTCAGTGTAATCAACTGATATCTCTTTATCCTATTATATTTATGAGTTTCATATTTTATCTAGAAGTTAAATGGTCTTCTTCTGTCTAGGGACCTGCTGTATCTCCTCTGAATATTACTTAGACTAGTTACTTTCATAAGCGAGACCATTCAGATAGACCAACTGATAAATAAAATCTTCGCGTGTCACCTTAATGAAGTTGAAGTACTTTCACTTGTCTTATTCTTCCTGGGTTCGTTCACATTTCTATGTCATCCCCAATACTACATTCGCTAATACATTGAAAAAATACATAATGGAATGAAAAGTGAACTATGAGTAATTCAATAAAATAGTACCTTGCGAATGGATTTTACAATCTCATAAATTCCAGATTTCAAAAATAAACTGATCCCGCAGATAAATGTGAATTTGTATATGCAGTTGGAGGTAACATATGACGGGTGCTTGCCGATTTTTGCTGTAGTAGTATCAGTGGTTGAATGATTTTCTTTTATTTACATAACTCTGGTTTTTCCAACTGAATGGCTAAGGCTTCAGCAATACAAACGAGACGAAAGTGTATTGCCTTTGATAAGTTTTTCTTGACTTTATAGATTACTTTGAGGGAGGCATTCGTTGAGAAGTAATGGCTAGTGTTGACACAGTGTTCGATTATGGTACTTCTTTCATGGCTAGCCCTGAGAATGGTCCATTAAAGTCGTCCACTGACAATTTACAACCGTATAAACGGTATGCAGATGACATTTTCATCACTTGTGCTTAGAGCTATGACCGCAGTCAGTTGCTACAAATATTCGACAGCTGTGATGAAGCAAAAACATTTACTCTAAAAAATGGAAAACGGATCGAAAATCTGCTGTCGCCATGTGGAATTAACAAGACAACAAGGCGGAATCCTTAGAAGGTCACTCCAAAGTACCCTACTTGGAACGACCAGCTAACAAGTTTCTACAGTTGGGCGCCCTTTGAGCGAAAACGAAATCTAATTAAATCCCCTGCCACTTGAATCTGATGCATCTGCAGTTGTCGTGCCATGGAAGCAGAATTGGATCTTCTGAAAGAAACCTTAATCCAAAATGGATACCCACTCAGAGTCCTAAACAACAATATCAGACCGAAAATCTAGAGGAACGAAACATTACCTGTTCAAGAAAGGAAACGTTACATGAACCTCGATTTCAAGGGATACTCAGCCTGTAATATCCTTAAGAGAAGAATTTTAGAATATTTGAGAAGAGCATGCATCGCAGTAGCCCTAAGAGTAGTGTTGTACAGTGTCCATTAGTATTCAAAAGCTTTAAGGACAAGATCTCACATCTGACCACTTTAATGTACATATAGCAGTTCACATGTTACTGTGGAACCAGGTACATTGGTCACTCAACGCGTATCCTGTCCAAAAGAGATCGAGAACACTGCGCACTATGGCTGCAAAAAAGGCAGGAGTGACTTCATAAGGAATGCGATAGTAGAACACCTCAAAACTGGGCATTTTCAAATATCGGTTTTTTTGTAGGGATTTGGCTTGATTAGTTGGAGTATTTTCATCATGAGCTGACATCAGTTAGAGAACCATTAGAAAACCTCGGAGTACTGGAAAGCTGGGACACTTCAACGGTACGCACTCCCCGTGGTTCGAACCCAGGACCTTCTAGTCACAAGACGAGGTCGTGGAGCACTAAGCCACCAGGAGCCGATGCAGTGGCCCATAAACTGGCATAAGTTAGAATTCGTGGACCATTGGATCGGCTCCTGGTAGCTTAATGTTCTACGAGCTCATTTTGTCACCAGAAGGTGCTGGGTTCGAACCACGGTGAGTGCGTACCGTTGAAGTATCCCAAACTAGGACGAAAGAGCTTTCCATTACTCTCAGATTTTTCAATGGTTCTTAAACTAATGTCAGATCATGATGAAAATCCTCCAACCAAAAGTAATCATTATGTCTCAACGAACGCCTCCCTTAAAGTAATCTACAAAGTCAAGAAAAACTTATCAAAGGCAATACACTTTCGTCTCGTTTGTATTGCTGAAGCCTTAGCCATTCAGTTGGAAAAACCAGAGTTATGTAAATAAAAGAAAATCATTCAACCACTAATACTACTATTATGGCAACAACCGTGCTGATTTGTACTGACTTGATCTTTGTGTGTCTGCTTTTCTAACTCTTTATAACTCATGTATTTCTTCCCAACTTTTACATAATTCCATATTTTGCATAGTTTCTATGTACATCCTAATCAAAGCTCATTCATAAAATTATTCATTTTACTGCGTAACTGCAATACACTCATTCATCTTCCCTTATGCATTGATTAACATTAACAACTATCTTTTGACGACTCATTACGACTATCCACTTACCAATCTTTACCCTCCCCCATGGCTACAATCTGATTATTCACCACATTTTTTCAAATATTTTGATAACGTAAAAGACAACTCTAACAATTTTTCATTCTTGTCTGACAAACATAATGTACACATACATGCAGTTAAGTGAATAAATTCCCCTTAAAAGAAACTCTAAGCTGAACTAAGTGTTTTGTTTTCATTAATGCCTGGAGGCGGATTATTGATGAATTAAAATTGATACATCGTGCAATATGAGCTGTCATGTATACTTCTATGACAGTGTTAAACTTCATGCTACCACTTCACAAAAAGTATCAAATATCCCCTAACTTTCCATAAATTATGCTATGATAATTTTCAATCAAAGATCAACGTAGTTCATATTTTCAAACTCTGACGGAAGTAACAAGAAGTATTCAAAAATATTTTGCACTATCTGTCTAGTATATTA